CACTATGATATAGGGCCAGCTTATCTCTCTTTGGTTAACTTTGGTTCAGGGTTACTGATGAGGAGTGAAATACTCCAAAACCAGAATAACCCAATAACACACATTGATCCGAGTGTAGATTGAACTGGACCTCCCTGAACTTAAGACTTTGAAATTAAACAATTTTTGGAATGCTAAGTTTATTTATTAGCTCTCAACTAGCTTTATATCATGACCTTTTGTCCTTTGTTCAAACTTTCAATAGACTAAGCATTACTTATTAGCAGCTTCTAAAAGCCATACATGTAGCCCAGCATTGAGGGTTCTTCCTTAATTAGTCACTAATAGCCAAAACCATATTTCAGAAATCTTACTTTTTTACTTTAGCTTATCCTCATGTAGGATTTGTTCTTACATCTCCCAGTTGCTGTAGTTTTATTTCAAAGTTATCATTTGTGGATTACAGCTCCCAACAGTCATAGCCTTACCTCAGGGTCTTCCAATCAAGAAGAGCTTATGCGAGCATATGAATATGCTCGCCGACACCCACCCCCTTCCTCCAATTATGAGCAAACCCGTGGTTTAAGTCATACCAGTGGCACAACCGAATCAGAAGCAACTGACCCAGGGATTCGTCAGTTCACAGGGTCTCCTCCTAAACCCAACGAACGACGCCAAGGTGCTTGTTTTACTCCAGGCCTTCCGAGTAAGTTTGAATATGTTGAATTGTACACTTTAAATGTAGTTTTTAAATTGCATGACTGCACTTTTAAATATCAGTATAGTTAAAATATAGACTTAAGATTTAGCATAATTTACAGCTCAATACATCCTGTTCACATTCTAAGATTGCTCCCAACAGCAAACTATTTTGAAACAAATTCAGGAAAAGTGAACAATTTATTATCCGTTCATGAAGACTAAGATAAAAGTGGCTACAAAAAAGACAATGACAATTTTGATCAACCTCTTTTAGAACTATCATCTAGTTCAAGCTCTGCCAGGAATTCTCAAAATGTTCCATCATCCACATTACGAGATCAGTCTAATTTTTAAAAACACGTAAACCAGAGTTTCCAGTACCTGTATCTATCAGGACCAAACATCATTAAAATATAATTAAATGCTTATCTGTTGTAATTACCACATACAGAGACAGACAACCCTGCAGTAGTCATGCCCAAGAGTAGCTATCTACGTTTTTTAACATAGTTCACAGCTCGGTACATCCTATTCACATGTAATGTCTAATTAAGCACAGGCAATCTGTACTAAAATTTTGAAAAATTACAAATTTATTTAAATATTAGCCATAAACTGCCCTCCATTATGACCATCTAAATTCCTCCTCTGATATGTCAAAGGTATGATGTAAAAACGTTGTGCCATCATGATAACATAAAAAAGACAAGTACTGTTTCCAAAATGCCAGAATCAGCAACAGAGAAAAAAAAAGGATCTGCTAAAAAAGAATTAGCTTTAGGCTGTTGTTAAAATTGCAGATCAGGAATAGATGGGTGAGCAGCAGAAACAGTGCACCACGCTAAATCAGAATAAACTGTCTTGATGTTTTTTGTATAATATGAAATGAGGAAACCAAGATGTCAGAAAAAAGGCTACAAAATCAATATATACGTATACAAGATATGATTCTACAAACATTAACTACAAACTTTGAAAGTGAAAAAAACCAAACCTTGTAGTACCAACAAACAATTTTGTACTTGAAGGAAAAAGGAATTTGAACTCACTGTGGCAGGTTTAACCCTAACTTTCAGAACATAACACAGGTCACAAAAATCTTGTTATAGAATGTGTCTTTATAAAGTATGCTACTTTAGATGAGGAATATTAGAAACAACCTGGCAACTATTCTAGTTTGTTTGTACCCCCCCTACACACACACCCCTTGTATCTTTCAAACGTGTAAGACTATGTATCTTTAATAGGTAGCACACCAGCTACAAAGCGTAACAGCAGTTCCTCTGATGAAGTTACCCCAGTAAACAGTCCACCACAAACACGTGAACTAGTTGCCAACTTTGGAGCACTGCCCCGAGACAAAAGCCGCCAGTCCTGGGGTGGGGCAAAAAGCCGAGCCCAACCAGCATGCAGAAGAAGTTCTAAAGGAATAAAGAAAGGGTGAGTTCTTTTATTCAAAATTTTTAAATATTGTATGCAAGTAATATTTTTATACACAATCAGGACCAAAGAGGAATAGTGTAAACTGGTGGCTCAAGTAAAAGAACAATAACGTAAAATTTCTTTGACATTAAGTAATGCCAATCTTAATCATAACTTAAAAACACAGATAAAAGCCAACTGAAGAGAACAAATAATTAAGAATGTTTTCAACATGGACACTCCAATATTTGATGTCAACTAAAGTGATGATCAGTGACCAAAAAGTATAAAGAAATTTCTCAAAGATTTTATATTGATACCTCAAATAAGAAAAATTCTCAGCAGCTTTCTTAGAACCATTGATCCCTTCAACTATTATACCACAATACAATTATAACAGAATTGTTTTTGTTTCAAAGTTATTATGTTAAATTTGTTAATAAGCTATCAGTAGAGGTCCCTTAAAAAAAATTATGTGTAAAATCTAAACTAGGGCATTCAAGACTGCCTTGATGATCCATTTACAGAGGTTAATAAACAATGGGGGTTATTGAAAATACCAGTTCTGAGTTTTAGAATGAATATATCCATTTATGTGTTAAGCTCCACTCATAACTAATGCATGCAAATTATAAAAATATCACAGTTTTGAGTTAAAAGCAAGCCAAAATTAATATTTTGGCAAAGAAATTTCAATTTTCATATTAATTATCAGAAATTTCATTCATAATTCTCATATTATTGAAACATGGGATTTGACCTGTTTTACATGTTCATACTGAAGCCACTTTTCTTTAAGTTTTGCATCTTATTGCAAAAATATATTATTTCCATACCACAACTGCTGGTGGTGCTAAAAACGAAAAATGCAAGGAATAAAAATTACTGTATCTCCCGTTATATTTTTTGTTTAAACTCTTGAAATATTTTCACCCAGAGCCCTGATAGCACTGTATAAAATGTTCTCACTAGAATAATTGTGCATAATTTTTATTTTTATTTTAATTTTATTTTCTGATAATGACACTCATAGACCCCTAGGAGAAAAATTGAAATAGTTTTAAACAACACAGAGCCATTTTGAATCTTGTAACTTCAATGAAAGTGCATTTTTATCAATTTTAGCCAATCACTGCTACCTGTCAATGCTGCCGGGCCCGTGCAAAAGTTTCTCAACATTGCCATTTTGAGATGACAATGAGTCATATAGAACAAAAACATTTATTATCCCCTCATCTACCCAGGTTCCTCTTACTAACACTGCAAAAATGTGCATTGTTTAACTGGCAATACTTTTAATATTCTTAGAACCTTATATAATAATTTGTTTTTCAACTACTTGTTTAAAAAAAATATTACATTATGATAACTGGTCACGTGTTCTCATCAACACAACAGGCTGAATGATAATAGGAAGAATTTCTGACTAATTACTTCAAGCAATATCAACTCTCATTCAGATATGTAATCAATGTATTCTCAACACCTAACATTCCATATGTGTATTTTTTCTTCAGTTTTCCAACAGCCAACTTAAAAAAAAAATAAACATTTTATCCTGGATTACAATCATTTATAATTTATTATTTCTAAACAAGGATACATATTAACAACCAATTCAACTTATCAAGCATGTTATATTTACCAAATGCATGTGGGGGGGGGGGAGCACAGATAAAATGAAGTTTAATATGAAATGAAAGTTAAAAGGTCTGTCATTTTACCAACGTCACATTTAGAGGGTTAATAGGGAAATTTATACAACAACAAAGTACACAGTTCACATTTTTCCATTGTTATGGCTTCAAACTGCTTTCAGAAGTGCTCTTTACACATGTTGTTTACATAAACATATAGAAAACAATGAATGTTATGGTGCTCAGACCAGAACATTATGTCAAAATAAACCGTTATTCATATAAGTCGACATCAAGGTACTTTTTGCTTTAGTAAAGAAAATCAAGGAATGGGAATTTATAATTCAGTCAAGAGTTGGGATGTCAGCTTACGTGATTTGTACTGTAACAGCCTATATATCAGTTTTGAGAAGCCATATTGATCTAGATGCATGATAAAAGCTTAGCTTATTGATATATTGCTAGATGAAAATATTTTTGTGAACAACTTCCACCATAATTACAGTCCTGTTTTATCATTTTCTGTTTAACTTGAATTATGATGTTTCAGTATCAGAAAATTTGCTTATCAGCCTAAGTAACTGCAGGAATGGACAGAGAAAACTGCCAAAAAAATGTAAAAAAACAAAATACATAAATGAATATAACATGGGTTTAAAACTTATCGGATACATTAAATGAAACCTTCTGATTAACAATTTTTTAAACGTTGGCTTGTTTATAATTGTCGTATTTAATGTTTATCACATGTCAGTGATTGTAAACACAGTGAGCTGTATGTGTGTGGTGTTTTTGAATCAAAACAAAGATAAAATTTACAGTTTTATAAAAGAAAAATTCTATTGGAAAGTTTTACAAGAAAGTAGGAAAGTAAAAATAAGCAACTGAAATTACAACAAAGGTGAGGCTTTTTAATCATTTCTTAAAGCACATTACAATGAAATCATTTAAAATTTTCAAAGTTGTGAATTCCTTCATATATCACGTTTTGCAAGAGCTACATAATTTGCAGAAAATTGATCTCTAGTTTCAAACTGTTTCATCTGGTATTACTTTATTCAATACAATAAAACAAACCATACAACAGGTGCATTGATAATATGCACCTGGATGCTTTAGAATTAAACACACAATGATAAAAAAAGATTTGTAAAAAATGTAGAACAAATTTTAGGTTTATGTTAGTGTGCAGAAAATAGTTGTGTATGAGAGAGAGAGAGAGAAAGAAAAATCTATAATAATACAACATAAGGTAAGCAAATTAAAAGGTCTCCAACAATACAGCACAGAAGGTTAGTGTTGAATGATCACAGACAAATTATAATTAACTGATTTTATCGTTTGGCAAGTGTTTTAAGACAACCACCCTTCTTCACGCCTTACAACAGACCTAGAAATGAATAATATTTTGTGTAATGTACACCTTACGATAAGATGATACGGAAGAGAGTTGTCTAGAATAATGAAGCATGTAGATTGTTAAAAATATGATCTATAAAAGCATATCAAAATTGAAAGGTTGGATAGCATTGTTCAATATAACTAGCAACTGAAAGTAAATAATCTTTTCTAGTCTTTCTAGTGATGAGAGTGACAGTGAGGGGACGATATACACGTTTAGTCAAGCTGACACAGTAGTTTTACGAGGAAGCAGTGGGAACGAACTCTCTGAGACAGAATGTGACTGGGATCGGCTCACTAGGTTTTCTAGAGGTGGGGTTCTTTTCCAAGTTTTACTTTGTACTACGGATACTGCTATAAAATTCGTACATTTATTTTTAAGCTTTATGATGACTAGTTGAAAAGAAACTTACAGTTAAAATCTCCAACACTTAACACTCTTCAGTAAATAATAAATAAAACAGCTCCATAATTATTGTGCACAAAAAAATCTTGCTTGTTATATCCAAGTGATACTCTAATACTAAAAGATTACTTGTGTAAGGTAACAAAACTCATCCAGCACATTTAGCTGTTGGTTCCTGTAACTGTAACAAAACAATGTTATCTACTCCTAGTAGCAACGAAAAGGTAAGAAAACTCTTTCAATGATGTTGTGGCAAACAAGATAATTAAATATCACAGTAAGTCACAATATTAAATATAATTCATCTTAATAGAGCATTGCTGTCAATAACACTAATAGGAGAAGTTTAACTATTAAGAGTGTAATACTATATACAATTCTAGTTGGATAGATAATCATATTTAATAGGGTCCACATAAACAAAAGTAACAATGTTGGATATAAACCAAACAACAATGCTATGATGTCTTAGCTTTGTCAAAATGAAACAATGCCATTAGATAGTATTCAAATATTCGATATTAGCACAGTACCATTACAGACCTCAATTCCAGTGCAGCACACTCCAACATGGCCTACTGCCTAGTCCATGCAAAACAGTGGTTCTAATCTTTACGTAATAGCATTTACTCTACAGTATTAAAAATTATTTAAGGACCATACTTATCCTGCTTATACTAAAATATGGAGTTTTTATTTATACTACTATTACAGTAAAAATATATTAATAAATCAATATGCACACGAGTACTCTAACTACTTGGCTATCAGGAGGACAAGTGGTTAGAGTGCCCATAATTGGGATCACAGATTTGGGAGTTCGAATCCTGGTAATTTCCCAAAAAGCTTTTTGGTTATGATGCACACACAAATGTCTGATATAACATCTGATTATGGCCGGAAAATGCACTGGTCCAAACGTTGTGAAAATAATAATACACATAATAAAGAGGAGAATAACAGTCCGAATAATTATACCATTGGTAATACAGCACAAACATATTTAAACATAACAGAGATACCTTAATTTAACAGGAACTGAATGTTGTTACCCCACACTCTTTTCAGTATACAATGTTATTAAATTTTAATGGCACAAATTCGTGCAATAAAAGCTTGTTCTTGCTTCGTACAGTATCCAAAGTATTTTCACAAACTTTCCAACTTCTCTCAGATGAAGAGATGCTCATTAGACATAATTACAACTCTACATAGCAATATATTTAGATTTTGGCATAAATTTTAGCTAACAAAATAAATAAAAACTCTATTGACCTCAGACATGTCATATACCGAGTTTGCCAAAAACAATTATACTGTAGTATGAGATAATTACTTTTACACATCTTAATACTTACAATTTAAATAAACAACTGCAACTTGCTCAATAATGTGTTAAAATCTATTGCATTCTACTTACACTAGCAGAAACAATACTATGTATTGGCCAGATTACCATTTTTAAATTCATGTCAATTGTACATTTCCATGTAAGATCAATGTGGCATGCATAGAAGAGAAAATTAAAATTAAATATATACAGGTTTTATTTGGATCTACATTTCAGTTTAGTCTAAAAACTTTCAATTTTCGTATAAATGTTCAAAATAATTATTTACACTCTTACATCTGATAATTGTTATGAACTGAGCTTAGAGCATTAAGCTTGCAATAATTATATAGTAATTAAATACACTTTTTTTATTATATATTTAATCAACAGAGGAATACAGATTGATTTATAAATGGTAATTTATTACTGTATCAATGGGGATGGGTTTTTTCTCAATTACTATTACAAATGGTATTTATCTGAATACCAGGAGGAATACAGATTGACTTATAAATGGTGTTTTATCACTGTATCAATGGGGATTGGTCTTTTCTCAATTACTATTACAAATAGTATTTATCTGAATACCAGGAGGAATACAGATTGACTTATAAATGGCGATTTATTACTGCATCATTGGGGATGGGCCTTTTCTCAATTACTATTACAAACGGTATTTATCTAAATACCAGGAGGAATACAGATTGATTTATAAATGGTGATTTAATACTATAATGATGAGGATAGGTCTTTTCTCAATTACTATTACAAATGGTATTTATCTAAATACCAGGAGGAATACAGATTGATTTATAAATGGTGATTTAATACTATAATGATGAGGATAGGTCTTTTCTCAATTACTATTACAAATGGTATTTATCTGAATACCAGGTAGTGAATTGGTGACTGTAAAAGTCCCCTGGCAAGGGAAATACAGAATCAAGGAGATTGGGAAAATAAGACATTTATAAAACTTTAACTTGAATAAATACACATCCATCCATCACATTGACATAAAATAAATCTTTATATTTCCTTTACTGATACACATCCTTCAAGTCAAAAACGTTCATAAAAGTTAACTAACTGAACAAACAAATCTTGTTACATGTTCAGATAACTTCTCTAATGGCTTACGAGCATTAATAAGAATGAAGTATGCTAACCAGTTTTTTTTATGCACTGTTCTTATGGAGTTTTAACTGCTTAAAACATGGATCAAACCAGTCCACTAAATGTTGATGAACCTTCCTGTTACATGCCTACCTTGGAACCCCTTTCAAAAAGCTTGTTGTATGCTCTATTTCATTTACTTCTCTAGTCAGACTAGCTTTTAGATGTTAACTCTTGAAAAGGGTTAACAACTGGCTTGGTCAAGCAACAGCTTCTATACTTCACTCCTGTGTGGTCTTCACTATTGAGAACGTTGGCTCCCAGTTTTATCAGGTTAAATTGAGTTTAATCTAGCTCATGCAGTATGAGGAATTTCTGTGACTTTCCTATCACTTTTTCTCCGTGCAGTTCTTTTCAAAGATTTATTTGGCATATATTCACCACAAGACTGTACCTTGCATATCCTTCACATCTAGGCAACATATTCTTCACATCTAGGCAACATATCCTTCACATCTAGGCAATTTTTATTTCAATAAAACCTGGCATATTCCTTTCAGAATTCTACATTTTAATCTATAGCTCAATCCATGTATAAAAAAATCAATTGGGTGTTTCTACAATTTGACTCCTTTCTTCAAATCAATGTGCTCAGTCAAAATAACTATGTGGTTGTGTTTGGTGTGGAATGCTTTCTATTTCTGTTGGTTAGGATGTTTATCTAAATATCACTTGTGCTAATAAAGAAGACAGTAATCTAGTATCACTTTTATGGATCAGTGTGTGCTTGCCACTCTTGACCAAGTTCTAATATTTAATATAGTAACTTTCCAAGACGAACACTTGACTCAATTTATAAGTAATTAAGATTCACTTAAATGTGTGAACTGATATTTTTGCCAGTCAAGACTGATGTGTTTTTCTCATACTTACAAACTCAACTTCAGCACTATTCACTAAATAAAAACAAAAACAGCTTCTGTTAATTTTTCAAAGCAACATTCTTGACTTGCACATCAAGTACAATAAAGAGAGAGAATTCACTCTGATGTTAGGTCAGTAAAACAGTTTGAGCTTTTGATAATTAAAGAGCTGGTATCATAACATTCAACCTTAAAACGTCTTAAATGTAGAATTGAACTGAAGATATGGTTACAGGTTAAAATAGGGTTAAGCATGAAAATAGCTTACTATATGACTTTTATCACAATGCCTGACTTAGGCACGAAAATAATTTGATATACGACCTCATATGACTTTTACCACATTGCTTGACTTCACCCATTTTACTTATGATCAGCCTCATGATTTAACACTTGGCATTTAATGTATCCACTCAAATAGACAAAGGCATTTACTCAGCAACTGGCAGTTACTTCGTGTTTCATCACAAGCATGACAATAATCAATGTCTAATCATTCTCTGTGGATTTTCAATAACACATCATTAATTAGTCTCTCAATATGTAGTTGGTATTACTAGTGGAATTCAGGAATAAGGACAATGGGATCATGTATGATTTGTCTGGTTCAGTGGTTAAATCGGGAATTTTTAAGGGGGGACTCCATTTTGTGATACATTTTGCAAAGTAGCAACATTTTTGAAACATATAAACACAGAGTTTGGGGCAGAAGTAACAAGTACCACCTATATCTTTTTGTACAATATATAACTATTATTTTTTAACGAAAAATGAGACAGATCAAATAATGTATTGTCATTATTCTTCCCACAATATATCATTACATTTAGATACTGACTAAGTACAATTATGCAGAATTGAGAAAAAACAATTGTACGTTTCACAAACACATCATTTATAACAACCATGACTTTGCCAGTAAAGGCATCATCAGGTACTGGCGCAACCATGGTCAAAATGAATGATGTATTTGTGAAATGTACAATTGTTTTGTTTTTCCTCAATTCTGTAAATATGGAGTTTCACCAAGTACCGACAGTTTCAAGTATCCATTATATATAATCATGCATTTAACTTAGTGTTTTGGAGAAGTTCTGTTACAAGTGTTCCAAGGCTGGTTTTATCAAGCCCTACAAATGTATTTGTATACTTTGCACTGCATATGCAAACTGTCACAGAAATCTGTATAAATATTTACAATATATCACAGACTCTCTACCACACTCACTCTCTTTTGTTCAAGAAGTCTAGTAAACTACTGATGAAAAGTTGTACTCTCTACACAATCTTATTTTTATAGAAAACTCTAATGGACTAAGTTTGTACACTGTGTCTGTTATTGATAACCTGTGATATATTTAACACTTTTTATTAATAATGAACACGAAAATAAATACGTTTTTCATAGCAAATTATGCAAAATCTCCAACAAAGTATATCTACATATCTCTAGTCTGTCAAAATATTTCAATAAGTCACATGTTTTGGACACAATTAGACAAAGTAAAGAGTTCAAGTAAAGATTAGCCAAAAA